CTTGTCGGATTTATGGGGCTTGTAGGGCTTATCGGGCTTTTCGGGCGCGTAGGCCTGTTCGAGCTCCGGGTTTGTGCAGTTGCGGGTAAGGTTCAAGGTTTATGGGGTTTAGGGGTTTAGGGTTTGTATAGATTAACTCAGATTTGCTCCGCTGACTGGTGTGGTTTCCATTTTGTCGATGAGCAATGTAACCCTAAAGCAAAAACTAAACTCCAAACCCGAAACCCTAAACATTAAGCCCAAAAACCTCATAAACCCTAAGCCCTAAACCCTAAACCCTAAACCTTAAACCCTAAACCCTATAAACCCTAAACCCCAAATCTGCAACTGCAAGCTGAGCTGTGAACAAGTTCTGGTGCTTTGGGGCTTAAGAACCTAGATTTGAGGGCTTAAGTGTTCGGAGGTTTAGGGTTTAGGGTTTAAGGTTTAGGGTTTATAGGGTTTAGGGTTTATAGGGTAGTTTGTTTTGGTTGATTTTTGTTTTGTTGTGGGGAGGGGGGGGGGGGGGGGGGGGGGGGGGGGGGCTGAGGGTTTAGCGAGGGTTCGGGGTTTTCGGGGTTTAAGGCGTCGCTGTATCCGTAATGCTGATCTAGATGCCCCCTATTGGCATATGTGTCATGGCTAAAGGTACCCAAAAGGTACCTTTAACAGGACTGAATGTCCGACAGGTTCAGTAGGGTTTGGGGTTTAGGGCTCCGCTTGCGAGGGTGCCCGATGTTTCACAGCTTCCCGCTCATGCACATCTATATACCTGATGTCTCACAGAGCCCTGCCTGTGAGGTGGAAATCAAGGGAGCTTCGGAAAAAGCTGAAACCCCGGCGAACACCCTAGACTGTACTCGGACGTGTAAACACATTAGGCATATACTAGACCCAGGAGTACCCTAGGAATAAACAGGTACCCTTCTTGGTTTTAATGGGGAGAAGGGAACCCCAACCCTAAAAAAAGTGAATAAGGGCCTACTTCGGGTCCTAAACCTTAAGCCCCAAACCCCCAACCCCAAACCCAAAAACCCAAACCCCAAATCCCAAAACCCTAAACCCTAAACCCCAAACCCCAAACTGAGATTGCCCTTAGCCTTCGTCAGAGCAATGAGGGGCGCACTACTTGAAGGTGCATGGTACTTACTAACCAATTATAACTGTGCTTATAACCCTACTTGTAATACCCCTAAAGGGCCTTATAGGGGTTATCCCAATTATAAGTAGGGTCATAAGCCCAGTTATAGTTGGTTAGTAAGTACCATGAACCTTCAAGTAGAGCAGACCAAGAGTCCAAAACGCCGTGTGGCCCAAGTGGTGCCCAGCTAGACGCAAGAGTAAACATAGGAATAGAAAGGGCCCTAAACCCTAAACCCTAAACCCTAAACCCTAAACCCTAAACCCTAAACCCTAAACCCTTTTTTGTTTCAAGGGGCTTCTGAGGGAACCTACTACTGGGTCCTTGCCCACATACCCCGAAAGGGGAATAAGGGTCTAGTCCGCATGTCCCAAACCCTAAACCCTAAACCCTAAACCCTAAGCCCTAAGCCCTAAACCCTAAACCCTAAACCCTAAACCCTAAACCCTAAACCCTAACTGCTAGTCTCGGGTTTCGAAGTATGGGGCCGATAAACGGGCCATGAACTCTGGGTCCTAGTTCTTCTCCTTTTGTATACCCCTATCCCTAGCTGTATATATGCACATGCACCCTGAACCCTGAACCCTGAACCCTAAAACTTATCCTCCCATCCTTGCTCTCTCTGGAACAATTTGAAAATTCAAATGACTAGCCAGTGCCCAGACTGTTTTGGGTTCAGCGTTTAGGGCTTAGGCTTTAGGGGTTAGGGTTAGTGTAGTTACCGTTTAGGGTTTAGGCGTGAGTAAGGGGTCTACGGCCCTTTAGGGGGCCCCAGAGGTTCTGGGCACTGATCTCGTGCTCAGGAAGCGCACTGGTTCCACTGGGCAACGCTCATTGCCTGGCAGATGTTCACCCTAAACCCGTTTCCCCTAAACCCCTGAACTCTGAACTCTAAACCCCTAAACCCCTGAACCCTAAACCCTAACCCCCTGAACCCTAAATTCCTGAACTATAAAGCCTAAACCCTGCAGAGTGCGGGGCTCCCACTAGAGTTTAGAGTTTAGGACTGCCCCGCCACCTTAGCGCTTTTGCGTGAATGTCCGCTTGCTTTTATTTCCTCACGACATTGACAGTGTCCATTGCCGCCACCAACTCGCATTCAGCGGTTGACGAAATCCCTAAACCCTAAACCCTAAACCCCCAAACCCTAAACCCTAAACCCTAAACCCCAAACCCTAAACCCCAAACCCTGAACCCTAAACCCTAAACCCTAAACCCCAAACCCCAAACCCTAAACCCTAAAGGCTACAGTCTGGGTGGATAGTACAGGATCTAATGGCGGGTGCATGGATGACCTAAGCCCTGACCCCTGAACCCTAGAATGGTGTCATTTAAGTGATGAAGACGAAGGTTGTGATCTACGGGTTTGAGATGATTTGA